GGGGTGTTGGGGGACAGAAGGTATTTGGAGCCTGTGCAGATGGGATGTGTAAACCAGCTTGCATCTGAATAGCATGTTGATGAGTATACTCAAGTTGTTAATCTCAGTGGGGCCTATGTACAAAGAAATAACATGTGCCCAACTGTGTGTGTAACTTGGAAGGCAGCATAAATTTCTGAGCATGTGTTGTGGTTTTCTTGGAGGATTTGCAGGCACTAGTTTAGCTTAAACACAGTTGTGGAAAACATTAAAAATAGAAATAAGAAATTTTACGTTGCCATTAATATACCACAGAAAAGATTATTGAATCTTTTCTTCAAGATCCGTTTTTAAGGAAGAAAGCATGTGAAGTCCATACACATCTGCTGTGTTGGAAAAAAAGGGGTTGATACAGTTTAGTTTGTATATAGTTTAATGATTTATGCATGAACTCTGCAGATTTACCAGAAGTCTGTATTGTCAGTCATATTCATTAACTCTTTGAAAGTTTAAACATCTTACTAATTGATTTAGTTGCTCTTGTTTTGGTAGTTAACAGTATTGTAGCATCTAATGTAGTTCATTGGCTGCAAAATAGTTTTAGCATTGAGCGTGTTCTATGACATCCATGAATAAAATATTTTATGAAGTCACAGTGAATAAAATCATGATTCTTCATGCTGATGAAATTGTAAAGTATGTCTTGAATTTATCCAGCAGGGACACTGCTTTTTCCAGTGTTAATATGATACACAGATTCCTTGAGTAGAGCAAATTAGAGGCATCATCTTTTTAAATTTTATCTTAATGAAGTTAATACTTTCTCTTTTTATAGATGTGACTTTTCTAACAGAAGACAAGATATATGAAATTCTTGAACTATGTCGAGAGAAAGAGGATTATTCCCCTTTAATCCGGGTGATTGGGAGAGTATTTTCTAGCGCCGAAGCATTGGTACAGAGCTTCCGAAAAGCCAAGCAGCACACCAAGGAGGAGCTCAAGTCCCTTCAAGGAAAGGATGAAGACAAAGATGAAGATGAAAAGGAAAAAGCTGCCTGTTCAGCTGCTGCTATGGAAGAAGATTCAGGCGCATCGTCATCCTCGTCTTCAAGAATAGGTGATAACACACAGGGAGATAATAACCTCCAAAAACTAGGCCCAGATGAAGTGTCTGTAGATATTGAAGCAGTCAGACGGGTCTATGATAGATTACTTTCTAATGAAAAAATAGAAACTGCCTTTTTAAATGCACTTGTGTACTTGTCACCTAATGTGGAATGTGACTTGACTTACCATAATGTGTACTCTCGGGATCCTAACTATCTGAATTTGTTTATTATTGTTATGGAGAATGGCAATCTTCATAGCCCAGAATATCTGGAAATGGCTCTACCATTGTTTTGCAAAGCAATGAGCAAACTTCCCCTTGCAGCTCAAGCAAAACTGGTCAGATTGTGGTCTAAGTACAGGGCTGACCAAATTCGGAGAATGATGGAAACATTTCAGCAGCTTATTACTTACAAAGTCATAAGCAATGAGTTCAATAGTCGTAACCTGGTGAATGATGATGATGCTGTTGTTGCTGCTTCAAAGTGCTTGAAAATGGTTTACTATGCAAATGTAGTAGGAGGGGATGTGGATACAGATCACAATGAAGAGGAAGATGAAGAGCCCATCCCGGAATCAAGTGAACTCACTCTTCAAGAGCTGTTGGGTGAGGAAAGAAGAAATAAAAAAGGTCCTCGAGTGGACCCACTGGAAACTGAACTTGGTGTTAAAACTATAGATTGCAGAAAACCACTTATCCCTTTTGAAGAATTTATTAATGAACCACTGAATGATGTTCTAGAAATGGACAAAGATTACACTTTCTTCAAAGTAGAAACAGAAAATAAATTCTCTTTTATGACCTGTCCCTTCATATTGAATGCTGTTACCAAGAACCTGGGATTGTACTATGACAATAGAATCCGGATGTACAGTGAAAGACGCATAACTGTGCTCTACAGCTTAGTTCAAGGACAGCAGCTCAACCCGTATTTGCGACTTAAAGTGAGACGTGATCACATCATAGATGATGCGCTCGTCCGGGTAAGTCACGCAACACGACTGAGGTTTGTTGGTTCTGCCTAGTGCAAACTACGTGGGCTTTGACTAACTGAAAGGGACTATGGTGTTTGTACTAGGTTTCCTCTAGAAGAAACTCGGGTAGGTTTACTGTATTGGGTTTGAATTCTAAGTGTGCTGATGAAGGTTTGTATGTTCAGCAGAACCGCATCTGCTCAGAGTGGTTACAGACTTTGTTTTAAACTGTCAAATAGTTCTTACTCCCTGTTAACACATTCTGTGCTGTTACAGCTCTTATTGGTGAGAGTGACCAACTTCTGGTTTGGTACTCTTTGTCCTGTGGACTGTCTTGGATCGTCTTCTGACAGTGGGGCTTTTTCAGATGGAACTTGGAATGAAAACCTTTCAGTTACATACTTTTCTGGAGGACTTCTGAACTTCCAAATGTAAAGTGTGTGGCGTGACTACACAATAAGTAGAGAAGTGAGAAGTTCTAAGTGTTGCTGTAATTTGGTGCAAATACTGATATGACTGAGAAAGGAGAAGTCAGACCTGTTAGCACCTGAGAACTGAGAGCATTCCTGTTTCTGAATATGCTGGTTTCTTAAAGGAAAACTTAGAGCCATTTGTTTCCACATTTTTGGCAGGTGGGACTTACACAGGATACAACTCTAAAGAATATTTCACGGTAAACTTATTTCATAAATACGTCCTTTAATTTTAGGACTCCTCCCTTATTTTTTGCCTAAAGCTGTTATTTTTCAGAAGCTCATTTTTTCTATATTCTGTTATTAAAGCACAACAGTGTTTGTAAAATGTGAAATTTAACCATGACTTCAAAGCTTGTCGCTGAAGATCCAGACAGATATTTGGGGAGACTCTGGGGAAAGTACCTGGTTTTGCCTTTCAGCCCAGCTGTTAGTTCTAGTAAAATTTTAGAACTGTAACTGCTAGTGAAGCTCAATGGAGAGCCCTAAATGAGGTCACACCTTGGTTTTTTTGGTGTACCAATGAATTTCCAGGTGGGTTAGCTGCTTCATGGGAACTGCTGATATTATGACTTATAAGGAAAATCTTTGTCTCCAGTACCAATAGGAAAAATAAAATTGCAATGCAGAAATGGCTTCTGTGTGTAAACCCAATTTTGTATTGGGCAGATGAGAAATACACTGATTTATGATTAAAGCCAGCTGTATATCAATCTTCTAATTTAAGAATGCTTCTTGTAGCTTTGCTGCCTGTCAGACTTACAGGTGTATCCAGGTATGTTTTGTCACATTAATGGAGTTTATTTCCCTGACTGTTCAGCTTCGGGATACATAAATACTAGGAAAAAGGGGTGGGATAGTACTGTCTCTTTAGGAGAAGATTGGCTAAAAGAGGGTGAGAGCTACTGTTAGGGAGATGTTTGTTTTAATGTCAGTTCCAGCAGAGAGGATGCAGACCTCCCTCCTCATGCTGATGATGGGAAGGAAAAATATGTAAATATGAGAAAAGGGGTTCTTCCACATGCTGCTTGGTGTGGAAGGACACTGAAATCTTTGAGGAGAAAGAAGAAAAAATGTTTAGTGTTGCATGGAGAGCTCACCAACACCAAGTTGGTGCAGCTGCTGTAGCATAACGGGGCCACTGCGGTCACCACTCTGCGCATTCTTGGTCCGGTGCAAATTTAGGTAATTTAAATCAGATTAAGCTCAAACATAGTAATTTAAATTATGATGTGCTTGCAGCTGCCATTGCACAGCCTAGCAGTCTACAAGTATGTGCCTGGGCAGTTACCATGAATCCTCTTACAGCTGTTTAATTTAAGCTGTCGGAACATGTGAAATTATGGTGATCTGTCAAAGACCCAAGAACAATAAGAATTTTTAACTGATTATTCTGGGACAGAAGATATAGGAGAAAGATACAGCTGTTCTAAATTCAGGTAGTCTGAGCTGAACTATAGTGTTTGTCAGCCGGACCAAGAGCAGCCCAGGCATTTCTAGAAAGTGGAAAATAATATTATGTTCAGTAAAACGAGATGAATGAAGACTTGCCATCCTAGCTGTAGGAAGGGAGCTGTGTGTGCGATTTCAAACAGATGCAACAGGGTAGCTGTTGTGAGATGATGTGGACCTAGAGAAAATGGTGTTGACTTCTGTACTGACCACATACATTTGTCACCTTTAAACCACTGATACAGTTTAACTGATGATATGAACTATCAATGCTCAAGGAAGAAGTTTGAAATATTCCTGAGAAAGTAAGTGTTAGGAGTTTAAAGGAGCAAATGGAACATTACTGTTTACTATGGCATGCCTATGTGTGTCTTTCATTTGCTTCTTTTCATTAATGCTCAAGGAAGAAGTTTGAAATATTCCTGAGAAAGTAAGTGTTAGGAGTTTAAAGGAGCAAATGGAACATTACTGTTTACTATGGCATGCCTATGTGTCTTTCATTTGCTTTTCATTTTGATATCAGAAAGGATGCAATAGAAAAACATTCAGAGTTCAGAATCTCTTCAGAGAGATTAAGTCCTCTTAATGGTAAAATAGATGATGGAGAGGACATAATAGATGGCATGGAGAAGTTGAATGGGTAATATTGGTTTTCTGAACTGACACTGCCCAGTCATTATCATGAAGCAGGCTTAACATAAGCAAAAGGAAGTATTTTTTTCCACGCTCTGTACCTTAAAATTACGCATGTCTCTTCCCAGAACTTGTAGCTTTTCATGAACCAGAGATCCATCAAAAGGTAATGGGCATTACAGGCATTTTGATGTGACCCACATACAAACCTCAGCAAGTCTCTAAGCTGCAAGTCTGCTGGTAGCTGGGAAAGTATCGTAGGGAAAATACTGTTCCACAGGGTGGTCTTGCAGTTTCTTCAGCAAGCATGTGATCTGTTTTAAGAATTGCATGTGTTGCTACAGGTACTTCCTGTGACAGGTTGGGAAGTGGTTTTTTAGTAACTTTCACAATTTGCTTCCACCTCCTAATTGGTGGGAAATAGATCTGGAGAAAGATCTTCGGTCTTGGGCTGTTCCTTAAAGAACTGGTTCTGACTGTAGTCAGAGATTGGTACCGTGTGCTTCTGTAGCAGTGCTGACAGCATCAAACCTAAGTGGAAGCCGTGTAGTCTGCGTCTGCATCATGGGTGATGGTTGCGGTTTTGGGTGCAGTATTGAACTTTGGAAGGGTCTCAGTGAAAACTATCGGAAAGATCTTGCCAAGATAATAGTCTTCAGTAGTAAAAGTATATTCTTAGACCTGTTCAGTGGAAAAATGTTTCCAAACGTGCTTAAGTTACAGGTAAGTAATTATGATTACTGCTGTTTTTACCCTTGAATTGCTTTTTTTTTTTTTACTCCTCAGCTTGTAATACTTAAACTTGTTTGGATTGTAATTAATTACACACTTACGTTACTAGACCTGTCTTTGCAGAACAACCAGTGCAGACTTTTTTGGCTATATATGGAATAACCCTGATAAAAGCATTTTCAGAAATATAAGATCATCTCAACCCTGTTTAATCAATTTTATTTTCCTTATTAATGCTGGATATTTTTTCAAGCAAATATATTGATCAGCCTTCATAATTTCTTCTTGTAAATGGACTATGTACCAGCCTTTCTTTGTTAATTAAGTTATCACCAAGCTGGTTTTCCTCTTATCAATACTTAATATTTATAACTTTTAGAATTCAGTATGTACATCTTCTCGCTTTTTGGACTTAAAACAAATATGAGCACTGGTAAGTGATTTTTTTTTTAATTATTGTCACTATAACATATTTTTGTTTTGAGAATCTGAAGCAGTACCTTTTAAATACATACCTTTTAAATACCTTTGAAGCAATAACTTCTTTATATTAAGAGAATTGTAGTTTACCCTGGAACACGTACATCTACCTAAAAACTTTATTTACAGGTTCATTGTTCTGTTTATGTATGAAAGTTGCATCAGAAACATTTTTCCATTTTTAATTCAAATGGACTTAATGAAACTTGCTTTCTTTGTATTATATACTTCCTGTATACTTATTTGTAAGTTAGTCTGAAAGGTGGATGGAGGGAGTAGAGGGATGTTGGAATTGGTAAAGTGCTAGTCCCCACTTCCATTAAGGAACACTTAGGTATGGGAGTTGGTAGCTCAGTTTGCAGTTCCTGAAAGCAGTTAACATGTTCTTTTGTCTAACAGGCTAGCTGTGCTCCTGCTGGGCCGTGTTAGTGGATGTCATAGTAATACAAGGAAGCTTATCCTTGGATCCCCTCCTGCCTTTTCATCCCCCAACAAGCTATTTCTATCATCCCCTTCCTCTGAGTTTACTCTTGCCCCTGACTCCCATGCCCCAGAGTGTATGTAGATTTATTCTCAGGTGGCAGTAATTTTAAAGGGTGTGAGTTAGGTCACATGAGTTCTGCAAGTGACAGTGCTGTGGGCTCCTCTAGCAGAGTCTGGCTGGTACTTGCTTGCATGCTAGGAACTCACTGACAAATTTCACATGGAGTGTAGACTGCTGGCAGGCAGCAAGACTCTCCTGCTTGTAAATGGCTCTGCTAAATACATTGATGAGCTAAAACTCTAATGTGACAACTGAAGCCATTACGCAGATTCTCTCATAGTATATTAGCAGCAGACTACTTCAGGAGCTTGACATGCTTTCAGACTGAATCAATGTTTGTGTTGAAGACCCTAGCACGGGTGTGCCTTGGTTGTGTGCAGAGTATGTCTGACTGGTGATGTATGCATGCTCCACTGGCAAGCGGATGCATGAACGGTAGAATACAGCTTGAGAGGGTGCTGCTTAGTCACTTCTCAAGTATTACTTCACGTGCTGTTCTGCAGAAGATGTAGTGACTGGTTTATGTCTTTATGTCACTGATACTGTCAAACTTGAGTTAGTTGTGTTCCTGTCACTTTTGCCTTCTAGCACGGAAAGTATTCCTGCCACTGTCTGAAAGAATTTTTATGGTCCATTGCTAGAACTTGAGGGGGTTTATTTTTTTGCTGCTGCTGCTTAAGAGATGCTACACACGTGCTTCCTGGGAAGTCCCTGGGAAACGTAATGATGACTTTGTCTGCTTGGCCAGTTACACCATCATGACAAAGACTGTATTAACTTGTAAAAGTTTGGGAATTCACACACACATAGATTGGGTTTATCCAGCAGCGTCTCTATTGAGGTGACTGGGGCAGTACAGATTATTTAAAAACAAACAAAAACCCACAAACAAATTTAAACTGAAGTTCATGCTTCCTTGCTATACAAACCCTGCTGCAACTCTGCTCAAATTCAGTGTCACTCCACTATTGTGGCAAATGCTGTGTTTTCCACACAGTTCCAGTCATCTTGTGAAGCATCAGTGTTGAAAGACATGAATGTTCAAAGGAACAGCTGAATCCAGAGCCTTCAGTTGAGCAGCTTAGCAACATTGTCCTGGTTATAGAATCTACTTCAAGAAACACTAGGCTTCGAGTCAAAATACTGGCTTTTTGGCAATCCTTTATTTGACTCTCTAGCAGGCATCCAGTGCACCGTTCCAATCTGCCCAGCTGGCATTGCTCAACTAAGTGTTTCCTTCCCTTTTTTAATACTGCTTCTCTTTTACATCACTCATTGCAGCGTAGTTCTCTGCTAAAAAATCATTTAGAAATAATTAATTGCTTTGTATGTATAAATATGAGGAATCTCCTTAGTATAAGTGTATTTCTATGACACAAGCGAGCATTGACACTATGACAAAGGTTTGTTGTTCCAAAAGGAATGCAGAGGCTTGCTTTCTCAGAACCCATCAAAATTCACAAAATTTGCAAAATAGTAAATTGCTGGTGGTAAATACTACAAAGCCAACAAAGTCATGAGAGGGGAGAAAAAATAAGATACTAATGGCAGTTGTAAGTGGAAGAGATTTGAATGGGAGAACTTCTGTCTGTACAGCTTGCATGTGTAACTTGTACTTAATGTCTTCCAATAAATGCTAATTCTCTGTTTTTAAAAACTCAGTTGTATTTGGAACATGGCTTAAGCTCCATTGGCACTCCTATTCAGGGACAAAATGTTTTTGCACATCTGTAGGATGCATAATTTTAAGATTTACCTGAAAAGCAAGATGCAAAACTCCACTGTTATGTGAAGCACCAAAGAATACCGGGG